TAGTGAATTGAGTCCCAAGTCCTAGCTGTTTTCACCACTCTCTGCTCTAGCCTTTTTTTCCAAGCTGGAGCCAGAGTGACCTTTCGAAATTGCAAATTTGTTCATGCCACTCCCCCACTCAAATGTGTTCAGCAGCTCCTCACTACGCATGGGACAGTTTCTCCTCCTGATTCAGGTGGCGCAGCATGTGGTTATCATGGTGCTCTTTCCAGAATATCATGAAATAATTGATATATTAAATCCCAACACATTGAAATAAAACACTTCAAAAGAACACTTCTGCTAGCAGAAAATATGTCTACATTATGTGTGTGCAATATAAAATCATAGCCACAAGCCCAGATGTCCATGAAAAAAAATAAACTGTTGAATTAAGCATGATCAATACTGGAATTGTCTGTTTAATATTCATTTGCTACTTGTTCACTCATTTTGTTGCTTGCTAGTAGATAAGAAAGAGCATCTGTCAGAGATTTAGGAAAAAATTATAATTAAAAAAGTTAAAACAGAGAACCTTCTACCCACTAACCGATCTATTTTTCACTGAGAGCATCCCATTTGCACAGGGCAATTTCAGGCACTGAGTAGGCACTGTTGCTGGAGAGCACAGTTTGAGAATCTCTGTTCTGGAGCAAAAAGCCTGAGCAACTCGCTACAGCCAACACGACCTTTCAAGATCTGGCTGCAGCTTATCTTCTAGTCCCATATCATTTATACTGTTTCCTCCTTCTACCATTCCTTCTGGCCAACACCTGGGAATCTCTAAATAGTCCCTGTCTCTTTCTCAGGGTGCTGGGGTGGAACCCAAGGCCTCATGCATGCTATGCAAGTGCTCTACCACTGAGCTGTGCCCTAGCCCTGCCCTTTGTGGGATCTTACATATGTTTTTCCTCTACTCTCTCTCTCCTTGACTGCCAGATAAGCCACCACAGCAAGAGACTCAGTTCAAATGATTCTTTTTTTAAAATGTATTTAGGATAAGGTCTATAGGGTCTTACTATGTCGATCTGACTCGTAGTGGTCCTCCTGTTTTCAGCCTCCCAAGCTCTGGGATTACAGGTGCACACCACCACACCCAGTCTCAATAGCCATCTCAGTGCGCCCATGGACTTGATAAAGCACATATTGCCAGGTCCCTGCCCTAGAGATGGTGATTCAGTGGGTCTGGGAGAAGGAAGGGCTGAGAACTTGCCTTTATTTTAACTTTCCTGGTGTCACTGATGCTGAATAAGGACCATTTGAGAACCACTAATGTAAGATGGGGGCAGCCTGTGACAAGGCACAAAAATAATCTTTAGTTCATCTTTACTCTGGTCCTTAACTGAGTTTCTGACTCAGTTGCTGCTGTCTGGGTTTGGTTAACCCCAGGGTGCTTTCCCTCAGCTATGCCTATCTTCTTCTTCCAATTTGCTGATCTTACTTTTCGCCTGTCCTCTGGGCTTGTCCACTTGCGACCAACTCCACTGTCCTTTTCTTTTTCCTTTTATAAAGCCATGGTTTTAGGACAAAGGCTTTCTCCAGGCTCTTAGCTCCATTTTACCTGGTATTAGTGCTCAGCCAACTTCAGCAGTCAGTGACTCCCAATAGGGCCCATTCTAATCTAGCCAGGACAGCCACTACCCCTCCCAGGCAGGGAGTCTGGCTCCACAACTATTTACATCCTAATGGCAGTCACCTGCTGATTGTAGGGAAGTTGGGGCTCCATCCAGCATCCTTATGCACAGTGAAAATATTAGAAACGGCCCATTTACAGGCTTCCATATATTCTTTCACTCAGCAAACACTGATGGAGCACTTCCCGGGCTCTGTGCTGGGCCCAAGAGATCTCACAAGGACACATTAAGTACACAGGCATGTTCATAGCAGTGCTGAGAGTTCAAAACCACCTTTTCAACCAATCACACTCAAGACTTCTTGCCTCCTGAGCCCTTCCATCTACCCTGAACCCACAGAGATGATGTGGGACTAAAGACTGAGCCCCAGCAGTTTCCAAAATTTTTTGTTTAAGTAAACTTTATAATCTGTATCCTTCAGTGATTGGTCCACTGCCTTGGTTAAGGTAAGGTACATAAAGTCCAGAATACAGTGAGTTAAAACCTCTCTATACTTTGACATGCACATGCCAACATCTGCACACACATACACATACTAATGCACCCACACATAATATGGTCACATAAACCTTTATATACACATCAACACACCACTGAAACACAACATGCACACACTGGCATGTGCCCCCATCCCCCAAACGCAGACACACACCAGCAAATACACACACATGAATAAGCCAGGTGAATAAGCCAAGACACACACTGACACAGGTAAACACACAGACACAGCTGACACACATACAAAGGTCCACCCACTTACATACCAAACACGCATTGCCATGCATCCAGTGGAAATCAGGGGGCCTAGGTACTGGAAGGGGCTTGCAGAAAGAGATAGCAGGTCTTGGAGGAGACATACAGATGTGGGAGACTTGAATTTTCCACTTGGTCCTGGTCTGTGAGGTCCCAAGTTTTAGAGGCAGACACCTTTGCAAGGTTCTGATGGTATACAGGACAGGGTAGAGTATGGGACAAGAATTTCCTGACAAGTGTCTCAGTGCTAGGAGAAAATATAAGGCATTTGGTCAGCAGGAAACTCTAAGGGGTGAAGGGATAGGGAAGGCTGACAGGATTCCTGGGAAGCCCCACAATCTCTGGTAGCACCTCCAATCTTTTTTCTCTTCTTCTTCTTCTTCTTCTTCTTCTTCTTCTTCTTCTTCTTCTTCTTCTTCTTCTTCTTCTTCTTCTTCTTCTTCTTCTTCTTCTTCT